AGACATCTGGAACTTCGATCGCTAATATATCTACCAAGTGTGAATCTTCCTTACAACTTAAGTGGCCCACACCCAGCAGTGGACTTTTACAGGCTACTGAATAAGAAGATACGGTTAAAATCTACTCAATCTCTTGTATTGTTGCAGACTCCAGGAATGTCGTGTGCACGACTGTCAGCCAGAGTGAAACTTATCACGCTAGTGTCGCCAGCCGACTCAAACAGGATATAGAGAAACACGTCGTAGAACTGGAAGGTGTTTTGTTGTTGTTTGAATTTAATTTGCTTATTTCCGTGTAATAAAATAAAATGATGAGTCCTGTCCAGTCGGAAGAAACGTTATACAGTTTCCTTTGATAGAGATTACAGTATATTGAAATAAAGAAGGCTTTATCTGTTGCTTATACAAACATACGAAATCTTAGACAAATAAAACTTTACAGTCTGCATTCTTTTTATTACAGAATATTTGTGACAAACGAGCAGACAGTCCACTTGATGGTAAGTGGACGTTGTGGCCCATAGACATCTACATACTTCTATAATTCTTGATTAATAATTAAAATGCTGTAGTGTTGTAACCCCTGAAAACTAAGATGGAATGCCCCGTTTACAGTAAAAAGGTTCTCTCCTGGTTCTTTGTTCTCACCAAACGAATCACAGCAGCATTAAGATGCTATTTTACGTTGGATAAAAAAATATTGCAGAAGCTGAGATATGAACCGAACATCCGTTCATCAATAAGCACTTACTCTAAACCAAAATTAAATTTACAGGACACGTTATATGCATGCATTAATAAAGTACCTTATAAACACTACATATGCAAATATCATCTGTGTTCGGTTTCATTTGTTCGTGTTTAATTGCAAACATTGTTACATTCACAAACGTATAGCTTAACGAGCGTATCCCTTAATTTATTAACAATTTATGCGACGTGTGCTTGTGGTGATGGATACGTAGACGGTTTACATAAGTTAGTGGCTCTGTGTGAAGCTTTGGCAATTAAATCAGGTAAAGGTTAGTTTAAAATTACTTTATATTCATATTTATTAAAAAAAACTTTTAATAAAAGATAACAGTCCACTTCAAAGAATTAAAAATAATAAAGTTGTTTCTACATAACGGCTTCAGAAATCAAATAGAAACAAAATAATCAAAATCTCGACTTCAGAAGCTGTTAGATGGACAATTTTTTTTGCTTTTAGTTCTTTGGTTTCGGTTCGTTATTTTTGTTTTCTCTTTAATATCCATATCGGTTTTTTCCTTCTGCTACTGCACGATTAAAGACCGTTAGCTAATTAAAATGTAAGTGAAAAATATCTTTTAATTACACAAACGATTTCAAGTGAAAAATAAATGTTTTCTATTCTAATTTAATATAAATAAAAAAAAAACTAATTTTTAAAGACTATCGCATGACTGAGATTTTTGACGTTTCAATTTCTTAGTTAACCACTTCGACCTATAGTTTAATATTTTTTTTAATTGATTAACGCGTGAAGAACTTTTAGTATCTTGAAGTCTTGAAGTATGCTTGGATTGATTAAATTTAGTATAGCTAAATTGTAATTATCGGCCCGGAGATGTCTTAAGATCATCATCTTCCTGATAACAGCTCCAAATTATACAAACTTGCGGTTGTCAACCCGCTTGGTAAGCATGGCAACTATGGTAAAATCCCCCCAAGAGGCAATCTATTAGGCCTATGTTCAGCAGCGGATGTTTAAAGGCTGTAGTGGAATGATGAATGGATGGAAATTTTAATTTAGTAGCAACCGGCCATCTTCTCTTTTGAAAGTAGGCTGTTTTTTGATTTCCATATGCGTCGATTCCTCACATTAGCTACGTTTTATTTTGCGCCGTTTTATTAATTTTTTAGTTATAAATAAGTTATTAAATGCTATTGTTCCGTAAAAAACTAGTTTTAATTAACGTATTTGTCGCATAAATATAAGAAATCATTATAAGTTTCCAATATATTTTTACTTTTAATCCCTCGCCCTGGGAGGGTGCGGTACAACTGTGTTGATTTTCTCTTATGGCCACGCTTGTCATGCGATCTTTGATCACTAGTGATGACACTTCCGCCAAATGTCATCACTAGTTTCCTTTAGCAGAATTATACAATCATTATACAATCATTAACTTAATTTTTAGAATTAGGCGTTATTTTGCGGAAATCCATTATATTAAAGTTGTTAGAACTTAATTTGCTTATTTTCGCGTAATGAAATAAAATGACGTGCTCTGCCCAGTTTGAAAAGGACTTCTCACCCTCCCTTAATTGTGTACACTGTCCTCGTCACCACCAATCCAAATGGTAAGAACTTAGTGGTCAGCCACTGCAGAGTCTACTTCACTCGAGGAAGCCTCGTGTAGAGGCAAAACACGTATCGTATTATCGAGGGTGGTGTGTCGTTCCTAGTATAGTGGTGTTGGGAGTGGTGGTGCTAGGATTGGTGGTGACGGGGATAGTGCACGCAATTGAGGGAGGGTGGGAGGTCCTCTTCAAACTGCGCAAGATACATAATTTTATTTCATTACTCGAAAATAAGCAAATTAAGTTCTAACAACTAAAATCATTACCTTGCTTTCTTCGTAGGTCTTTCTTTCGGTTTAAAATTTGTAAATAATCTTTAAGGCATTTGCTAACATTCGATTAAGCTTAAAACGATATATTAAAGTTACTGCGTTTACATTACAGTAAAAATGTAGTACTATGGAGCTGCTGATGTAGGCCCTAGTAACGTCTATAAAAGCTTATTAAAAGACTTTCACCCCTCACTACAATTATTACGAGACAGTTCACATACATAAATAATTTACATACATTAATTGAACAAGTACAAACATCCAGATCTGGAAAAGTTATGTGTAGGCCATATATACACTTGTTCTGTGCAGGATTCAAACTCGCAGTGCGTCGCCACCAAACGCTAGGTCACTGAGCTATGGAGCCGTCAAACTAGTTATGCAGCTTTTTATATAGATTTTTTTTATTGTAGCGATGTCCGTTAGTGTACACAACAAATGAAGATTTCACCGTAAGTGGGCTTGGACGATAATAGCCCTACTGCGACCACACACGACCAAGTACAAGGGCAGCGATGTCCGGTGGGTGCTGTTTGTCGAACCCCACACAGCCGTTAGGTGTGGTAAGCTGTTTGAAGCGTTGGCTGCGGCTGATAAACATCAGGTAATTTTGCATTATACCAAAAACCAATACCAATTATACCACACATTGATTTCTTTGCTGTTGCTATCCGTTTAATGATTAAATTTACTTTTGAAAGTCTTTGGGAATTTTAAATGTTTCTATCATAAAAGTTTATTTTGATTTTTACAACAAGTTAATCTTACAACCTCGATTTTCGATATTTTAGTTTACATAATCGATTGATCGATGTTTTGGAAACTCTAATATTGATTTTAAATCATTGACGTTTCAATAGCATCGATAAATGTCGATCATTCCTACCTTTGTAATAACAATCAGATAGGTTAATTACTTTATTATTGCTATTATTTTAAACAGTTTGTAAAAATTAACCTACGCTCATTTTAGGACACAATGTGGATAGGCTATCCGCTAAGTGATGAAGAGCCAACCATTATACACCACTTCATGTTCTATGAAGAACTGGAGGACGAAGGTGGTTTTTTTACTCATATTTTGCTAGTGGATTCGCGATGCGCATAAAGCTTCTGGAAAAGTGAGGGACTTTTTTACTATTATATAAGTTTGTAATAAGGAAAACGAGTTTTAGTTAAAGAAATATTTAATAAAAATTTAATCGGATGGATTTAAAAAATAAGACGGATATTACATAAATTAATGGAGATTAAAAAAATAATAAATTCATTGCCGGAAATAAACGCGACAGAGGGAAACATACCAGGAAATGGGCGTAAGGAAGCAGCGTCTTCTTAATTAAAAATCGAAATTAAAAAATAATTGTAGTTGCTAATCCGTCTGCCAAACGTGGCAATTATGGCAAATAAAGGGCAACCTATGTGGAGGTTCATATTAAGTGGACGATAGGCAGTAGTAAATTAATGAATATTATGTTTTAAATGTAGCGCTCTGTGTGTAATAGCATCCATTCATGCATCCGTTACTACAAACTATACTACTACAGACTATAAAAGTGCACTGCTGAACACAGGCCTCCCCCATAGATTGCCTCATAGGAAGGATTTTGCTATAGTTGCCACGCTTCGAGGTCGCTAATGCTAATGCCCATCTTCCGTTTTAATTTCCTTTTGTCGCCCCGTGCGACACCCACGGGATGACATGAGGTAGGTAGTGAATGTTTTTACACCACTACTACACGGTATAAAATTTACAATGTAAAACGTGTGGTGACGGTTGAAAATTTCACAATTTCAAGGCTGGTTTAGATGTTATTTCTGCTAGTTTATAGACCTCTAGAGGAAATCGAAAGTGGCTGGGTCTTTATAGACCCAGCTTTTGAATTGGCACAGCTGTTGTACGGTGACAGAAACAACCCGGGACCTCTTCTCACTCCCGACCTAAGCTTCTGTATCCTGTCCGGGGAGAACTGTGCTACTTATCATTGACAGTCGTATTTGACATACCGCCTAGACTACATGTTTTATCTTTGCTCCTCAAAATATCGTATTGTTAATGTTTAAACTCAGTGCTAAGAAAAATAAGTTTTGTAACAAGTATATCAACACTTTAGTTATCATTCTATACCGCACTTAACTCATTTAAAGTGGTGAATTTCAAGTGTTCTAATATTTTGTTTAATCATTTTAACATAAGTTTACCGTCAGTTAGTGTTAATGAGTTGTGTTTTGATAAAACGCGTAAGCGACACAGTCTGCACGGCGCTTAAGACGTTTTTGTCGTAACTTCACTTTGGCACCGATTCCGGCGGCGGCCTTAACTTGGAGTTGATATTTATTAAATTCATACGGCGAAGAAAGCAGATAATTTCATTTCACTTAATAAGTTAAGTTAAAATTATTATGGCTGTGTCATTGCAATTATGGGGATGTTGCTCTAATGAATCAATTGAAGAAGTTGAACAGTTCATTAATTGTACGCACTGTAATAAATCTTACCATTTTTTAAATTTATCCATTCCTGAAATCGCTAGGAACTCTGAGGCTTATGACAAATGGAAATGTCCGGCATGTATAAATTCAGCACCAAAGACCTCAAAAAAGGACTGCACACCTATTCGTACTATTCCTACGACCAGAGGAAATAAAAGACCGGCATTAAACTCTCCTCCAAAAGCAAGTCCTGTTACAAGTGAAAACGTTCGTACAATTGTCCAAGAGGTTATTAAGAAAGAGTTCAACGATATGCTAAAACAACTAAATAATAGTATGATCGGTGTTATCACTAAGGAGCTGGAACCTATAAAAAACGAAATGAGGGACCTTAAAGAATCTATGTCCTTTATTAATAAAAAATTTGAGGAAATCGAGTCGGAACAGCTTGCAGCTAAAAAATCTTTTAAAACACTGCAAGATATAAATTCTCATTTAGGAAATACAGTTTCTGACATGTTGCAACGACTTAATTATTTGGAGCAGCAATCTCGATCCAATAATTTGGAGATTCAGTGTTTGCCTGAAAACAAACATGAAAACTTATACACGACTGTCAAACAGATGGGAATTGTAATTGGATGTGAGTTAAAAGATGAAGATATACTTCACTGTACCCGGATAGCTAAAATGAGTTCTAACAACACTCGTCCTCGATCTATCGTAATCCAATTGGCTTCTCCTAAAGTACGTGATCAGATTTTGGCTGCAGTTATCAGCTTCAATAAATCAAATCCGCAAAACAAACTCAACAGCGTGCACTTAGGTCATACTGGTATCAAAAAACCAGTTTATGTTGTCGAGCATTTGTCTCCATCTAATAAAGCTTTACATGCAGCTGCTAGATTGAAATCAAAAGAAAAAGGATATAAATACGTTTGGATAAGAAAGGGTAAATCTTCGTTAGAAAAGATGAAAATTCAGAATATATTTACGTAAGAAACTCGGACACTTTAAGTAAAATAGTATAACTTCACTTCTGTATATCTAAACATCCTTACATATTTTGTGAAAGTAACAGAAATATCAGAATAACATTCAAAAAATTAAAGATATATTACCAGAATAGTAGAGGTTTAAATACGAAAACACAAACATTCTATCGAAACGTTTGCTGTAATGATTACGATATCATAATTTTGACAGAAACGTGGCTGAATAGCGCAGTTCTGAATAGTGAACTGTTTGATAACAGATACGTGGTATACAGGAGGGATAGAGAAAGTTCCAATCTACAAAGCCGTAAAAAAGGAGGAGGAGTGCTGATTGCTATAAAGAAGAATATTAAATCGAAATCGCATTCAGTCTTGGGAAAGTAGCTGTGAAGATTTATGGGTTATTATGGACTTTCCTTTGTCACATTCTATCCGTCAAATTGCTTTTTGTGTAGTTTATTTACCACCACCCGTACGAGGTACTGTACTAGAGCATTATATAAATCATTGCAATAACGTTTTTGAACAGATTGTAAACTCACATGTTTGTATTGTGGGGGGATTTCAACTTAAGTAATGTAGATTGGAGTCTTATAGGAAACCAAACCTATACTTCAATACCAAATCTTAGCCAAACGTTGATAAATTTTGCTAACGTTAACAACCTCGTTCAATACAATCGTGTGACTAATATAGCCGGTCGTATACTTGATCTTGTTTTAACAACGATCTCATCTTGTAGTGTAAGCAAAACTATTGATGCTTTAAGTAAAATTGACTTACAACATCCACCTCTTAATATTGTGATTCACGGAGATAATGAAACTAGATTACCATATAATATCAATAATAAGAGACCAAATTTTTATAAAGCAAATTACGAATTAATCCGTAAATTTTTACGAGAAATAAATTGGGTAGAGAAGTTTGATGGTCTGTGTGATGTGGATGAGTTTCTAGAGATCTTTTACGAAATATTATACATAGCAGTACAAAATTTTGTACCGCATTATAAATCGAAAACTTACAAATTTCCAGCTTGGTTTGATCATAAACTTATTAAATTATTGAATGAAAAAAACAGGATACGGAAGCGATATAATAAATATAAAAATCCGTTAGATAGAATCGAATTAAAACTTATAGGCAAGCGTTGTGGAAACTTAGCAACTAAGTGTTACAATCGCTATCTGAAAAAATGTGAAGATACACTCTCGAAAAATCCCAAACTATTTTGGTCGATGGCGAAAGACAAGAGGGGTGGGTCAAGTACATTTCCGTACAACCATGAGCGATGGATCATCTTCCAGCTCAGATAGTTCAGCTATATGTGAAATGTTTGCTTCTTACTTTTCTTCCGTTTATAGCCCAGAGGATGATGATAGTTATGACGAATGCATGTCCGATTACTTACAATCACTAGTAAATAACAGCTTATGTCTCTCAAATCCAAAAATAGAACATGATACAATTTTAAAAAAACTCAAAGGACTAGATTGTAATAAAGGCGCAGGGCCAGACGAAATACCACCAATTTTTATAAAAGAATGTGCTTCGGAATTGATATATCCTTTAAAAGTTATTTACAACTTGTCTTTAGCATCTGGCATGTTTCCTTCAAAATGGAAAATAGCAAAAGTATTTCCCATACATAAGTCGTCAAATATCGATATCATTTCCAATTATAGACCCATTTCAATTTTGTCAACCTTTGCCAAGGTATTTGAGTCGTTGATTTGTCATCATCTTCAACAGCACTTAAGCCTCTATATAAGTGACCATCAGCATGGGTTCTTCAGGTCTCGGTCCACTAGTACGAATTTAGTTCCTTTTACGGAATTCTTGTACGAGGCTATTGACATGGGCCATCAGGCTGATGTTATTTATACCGACTTTAGCAAAGCTTTTGACAAGGTTTCGCATAAGATTTTGATTTCTAAGTTGTGTGCCTACGGGATTTGTGGCTCGTTACTCAAATGGTTGAATTCGTATTTAGTACAAAGGACCTTCTTAGTTGCAATTAATGGTTCTCAATCAAGTACTAAAACTATAAGTTCCGGTGTTCCTCAGGGTTCTCATTTGGGACCAGTCTTATTTCTTTTTTTCATAAATGATATTAAAAATTGTTTTCTGTTTTCAAAATATTTTTTATATGCTGATGACTTAAAATTTATGAGAATAATTAAGAGTGATGATGATACTAAATTATTACAAAGTGACATTGATAGACTAATCCAATGGTGCTGCAACAACAGAATGGACTTAAATACTAGTAAATGTTATCATGTTAAATACTCCAGAAAACAAAATTTAATACATGTAAATTACTTTATTCATAATACTAAAATTAGGGAAGTAGAGACCATTCGGGATCTTGGCGTAGTATATGATAAAAAATTAACTTTTGTACCCCATTTGGATAACATAATTATGAGAGCATCTAAAATGTTGGGTTTTGTCATAAGAAACTCAAAAAACATGCATTTCAAAACCAAAATATTTCTTTACAACAGTCTAGTTCGTAATATTTTAGAATATTGTAGTGTGGTCTGGAGGCCACACTATGCTACACATTCATTACGTATCGAACGTGTTCAAAAGCGCTTCCTCTGGCATCTAGCATTTTCTGTTGGTAAAGCAAAAAAGCTATGGTCATAAAATAGTAAATTGCATCATTTTAATTTAGAAACCTTAGAAAGTCGCAGAAAGTATAATGATGCAGTTTTTGTACATAAAATATTTAATTCTACATTTAATTGCCCCAGTTTAATAGAACTTTTTAAGTTTCGTGTACCTTCGAGATTACCTCGCAGCTCTATTGCACCACTTAGTCCACCATTAAGAAGAACTGTCTTGGGAAAGAATTCTCCTTATGCCAGGTTCTGCAAAGTTATTAATAGATATAGCGATCTAATCGACATTCACTTTGACTCACCCAAAACATTCTCTAAGTGTCTCCGTTAATGTATAAGTTAATAGCGTAAATTAAAATAGATTTCTTAGTTTTTTTTTAAAGTTTTTTTTTTAGTTTATGCAGCACTAATCTTACTAATAAATATGTATTTAATTTTAGTTGAGGAACAACTTATTGTTTTTCAGTTTTTTTTATAAAGTTATATATGCATGCGGAGTTTACCTTTAAGTAATTGTTGCACTTGTGTTACTTTTAAGTAATTGTATTAATTTGATGTGTTAGTGTTATCAATTGTTGGTGAACCTAATAAAGAGAAAAAAATATCCGCGACAGTTTGATTTATGTGTGAGTACATTATACATATTTGAACGAAAATAGTTAAAAAAATTGTTCATTAACTTTTTTATATTCCCTACGTTTTGAGTACTTTACGAGAGGACTCAGGACTCAGATATTCGCCGCCCCAATGTAAAAATTAACCACGACTATCTCCAGTTTTAAATTGGTATATTTTTGGTCCGATCTACGCAGAACGAGCTTATGGTATTAGGTTATTATATCTTGATGTAATGATTAAGCGTGATATATTATACTATGAGTACCCGAATGAACTTTACTCGGTTTTTTTTTTAAAATTACATTTAGATATAAATTACATACTGATGAATAATATTTTTTGATCTTATTGACATAATATAAAAAAAAAACTGAACTGGTTATTTGAGTGAAAAATCATGCAATCGTGCAATTAGTTTAATTAAAATTTTCGTATTTTTAAAAAATACTAAAAAAGGGCTCGAAAATAATAGATTTTCTCACAAAAGAAGGTAACTTGAAAAAAAAGGAAAAAAAATCGGTGCGGAGACAGGACGCGAACCAAGGCATTACGATTTCGCGACCGCTCGATATCCACTTGAGCTACTACGATTTAACACAGTATCAAAATTTACCTTCTTATATTGTGGCAGTTTTTCATTGCCTGAAAACACGGACAAAAAATATTTTCTACAAATAAATCCTAGCTAGATCGATTTATTGCCCCCGAAACTCCCTGGACACAAAATTTTATGAGGAGTCGTTTCCAAGATTCCGATTATATATATATATATATATATATATATATATATATATATATATATATATATATATATATATATATATATATATATATATATATATATATATATATATATATATATATAAGAATTGCTCGTTTAGGTAAGGCAAATTCCTAAACCATCCAGACCGAAACACAGTCCAAGGTCTGCGGTAGTCACTTACTGTGGACTGTAAGTTCCTTTGTCACTTCATTTATATAAAAATAATTTGGCGTCAGAAGTAGGTAAGAGGGTGGTGCCTGCCCAGACGGATTCCTGGACAGAGAAGGAGTCACAGTCTGTGAAATTCCACTTCTGGAGATCGATCTCCTATATTGGTTTACTTTAATCGCCTTACTTAGTACGCGCCTAAGCGTATACATTACCAGAAGTTCTGTACCTCTGAAATTGCTCTGGGTCACCTGTCGGGTTATGACACGTCTGGCTTAAGCAAGATGGTTTAACAGCCATCTATCGGTACCCATCAGACCTTCCTATCATTGGCTATGATCTCTTCTTACGACAATTTTTATAAGAATGACAAACGAGCACACAGTCCACTGATGGTACGGGTATACCTTGGCCCACGGATATCTACATCTACCCTCAATTAATACAGATGCGTTATAACTTCTGAGGACAAAAATGGAATGCCAATAACATAAACATACCTGAGGAGACGATCTTTTTCGCTGTGGGACCTGGAGTGGATTTCACTAGACGAGAACTAAGGTGGTGAAGAAGACGTGGGGCAAACATATTTCGAATCTGTACTTTTTAGAGATGAAGCTGGTGAGACGACGACGAAATTGATTTCAAAGCGATCAGCTTTGAAATCAATTTCGTAACAGTTTTCAATCGATAATGGGAATACCACTTGCTGGGTTTCTATATTTAAATGTAAATGAAGTGCATGAAACATTTCATAAATAGTTAAAGAATTAATTCATAAATAGTTCAACTGTTTAAAGTCACCCTAAGTTGTTGAATGAATTGTTTGTAATATGAACTATTTTGACATGTACTTTGTATGTAATAGGACGGATCGTTACACGTAACGAGACGTTTCTTATATACAGGAATCTAAGAACAGGTTTAATTATAATTTTTTTATTTATTGTCTGTGAGACCATTTCAGATCCATCCATTCCAACAATACGAGTAGATACGGGCGTACCAAACACTAAAACCGGACATTGTGCCAAAACTATAACCATATTGAAACGAGGGGTTTAAAATGGTGGAAGACATGCCGCACATTAAATGGATATTCTTAGCTGAGGACGATACTATTCTGGGGTGAGTTATTGTAGAATGTTACGAAAGTAAATATATTATAGCCAGTGGCTTTAATCTGCCAGTTAATCGAACTGCTACAGTGCTAGTGAAGCCACAACGGCGATATATGACAGCGTTCCAGGAGCTGAAAATGAAGCTAAAATTAAACGTGTTGGTGGTTCGTAATTCAACTTCGTCGTATTCAGACTAATAGTACGAGTACACGCAATTTGATTAAAGAGCTGGGTATTTTATTAAATGCCAGCATTTAACTAACGCTTCATTCGCTTTCTATCATTACAGCCCGTACAAAGACCAGAGCTGAACATTTGCTTCCCTAGAGGTTGCGTCACAGGGCGGAGGATGTTTGCCAAAGTTGCCGCATTCGGCAGGCAGGTAGGTAACCACAGCTTTCATTGATGAGTTCTCATTAGGATTATGCTTCTTCTATTCCAGTTCTCCTCTTATACGAAAGGTATTATTTTCTTACGCTGCTACTACACGGCAAATTTATATTATAATCATTTTCCTGATAGCGGTCGCAGTTTTGCGAATTTTGCGAAAATAGTCTGCTTATGTCTTTCTCCTTCTTTGTCTCTCGCGGCTTTTTGAAGAAATGTTAAAAAACCAATAGACGTTTTCGTTGTCTTGAGTTATACAAATAAAAACTTTATAAGATTAATTGGTGTTTAGCGTGCAGAGACTGTGCGAAGTGCTAAGCTGCTACCGCGGCGGGCAGGATCTCACTGTTATCGGTGAGAGGTACGGCTACGGCCACGGAAAAATTGAAACTACGGCCAAAGGTAACTAACTATACTGTAACTTAGTTTCCTTACCCATGGCGATAACTGCGTAAAATTTCTACTAGGAAGTTATTGTTATACATTTAAAGTCAAAATTTTGACATATCTCAACGTTTCGATGTCAGACAGAATTTTAGCTTTTATATTATTTTTTTATTAATTATTTTAGGTTTTCGCTGTTTGTGTATGTATTTTCGTGACTGATTTTGCGACACGGGTGAATGAATCCGTCGTTTAATTTGAGTCGTTTAAAATTATTGATGATTTTAAAAAGAAACGATCCGTAACAAACAAACTACGGAAAGTTTTTAACCGACCTGTAATTTACTGTTTTGCGCGAATTGTTAAGATACTACTAATAACAGAATACCTCAAAATAAAAATGTATGGATCATTTTCGAACAACCTCGTCCAATTTTACTAACACATACAACAAAAAATTATGGATTTGAATCCGCCATTCGACAGTAGTCGTGAACGACTCTTAACACAAGCATTTTCAGCTTACCAGTAGTGGACAAAATATTAGAAAATTACTAATAGCATTGTTAGTATTTTTTAATAAATAAAAAAATCAATGAATTTGAATTTACAAGTCGCGCGGCGTGTGGTGCAGCGTGGGCGCGGCGCGGGAGCTCCGCTCGTGCGCGTGCGCGACGCGCGCCGCTCCCGACGACATGGCGCTGGGCGCGTTCGCACGACGACGCAACGTCACGCTCGCGCACTCGCCGCACTTCCACCAGGTGCGTCATGGAATAGAATAGAATCAAATAGCGACTTATTGAAAGCCATTTATGCTTTTGCCACGGGTTCGAAAAAAATCGCTGTCTTGGGAAGAACCAACAAGAAAGCCAAAATGGCAACTTTGAAAACAATAATTTACAATATAACATTTCATATAACTAAATACGAAAACATTTAGAAACAGCATTTAGTTATTATCAGTCATGTACTCTTTAGTGGTATAATAACTCTAATTAATGTTTTTTTTTATATACAATAAAGTAATTTTCGTAAATAAATTACGGCCAAAGTTAAATTCAGCGTAGCCGCGACAATTTTTTAAACAAATTTACTGTAATTACTGCCATATTATTGGAGCGGAGCTCCCATGGCGCAAGAAAACGATTCTTTGAAATCTATATCTTCCGTAATCCGTAGGCTAATATATATATTTTTTTGGGAATATTTGTAGCTAAACGCAGACAACATTTGTAAACAAAAAATATCTGAATTTGAATTTTTTTTTTGTTTTACTATCTAATAAATTCGCTAATTTACATCTGCGCAATGTCACATCATTAGATTGAATCTTTTGTTGAAATTTTACTCCGCTCCGTTTATGATGCTAGCAAAAGATTTTACCTTTGAATCTGCATCGTCCCTAGTTATTGTAGCACGAATGGGTCGGCTTGACCGAAGTAGGACTACGCTCTCACAGAATAAAAACGTAAAAAAGCAGCTCGATTCAGATTTATTTCGTATGGTAATTGAGTATAGATATTGTAAGACAGTAAGAAGTTCCTGAAAACGAGACATTACATATTAGTCCACAGGGGTGACCACCCCTGGCGACTAATATGTAATATCTTAGTTATCATCCCTGAGGTCTAATTTGTAATATCTTAGTTATCACTTCTGAAGACTAATAATATATAATGTCTTAGTTATCACCCATGAGGACTAATATGTTATGTCTTAGTTATCACCCATGAGGGCTAATATGTTATGTCTTAGTTATCACCCATGAGGACTAATATGTTATGTCTTAGTTATCACCCATGAGGACTAATATGTTATGTCTTAGTTATCAACCATGAGGACTAATATGTAATGTCTTAGTTATCCCCATGGACTAATATGTTATATCTTAGTTATCCCCATGAGGACTAATATGTAATGTCTCCCAGACCCAATTTTGGTCACGGCAATTTTGGTGCGCTTTACATGATCATAGTGCGCAAGCACAGGTTCTCTCTCTATTCTCTCATTTACATGGTCCGATGGCCGGTAATTTGACACGACTGGAGAGAGATCAGTCGCAGGATAAACAGCTTATTGTGTTGTGGACACAGGAGTTAATGAAACACCGCCAACTTTCTGACTTTCCTTTATGAAATTTTACTTGTGGCCGTAGTAGGAAAAGGGGAGATCTCCCGCCGGGCAAGGCGTTCTGCCCGGGGAGCGGCCGACACTCCGTGTGATAGTTCGGAGATGTTCTATATATGCTGTTTATGATTCGGAATGTTGATAGCGTGATTTAGGCTTCGGTATGTTTCGCTTGCGGCGCGACGACAGCGCCGCCACATCACCCCCTGCTCAGACCGGAGGTCGATAGTGCAGCCTCGTTTCCGACGAATGTGCAAGTGCCAGGAGATTGCCTTGTAGTCTGCGGTGAGTCGAGAAGGAGGCAAGTAATCTGCGAGAGTGCTGTGAGGCAGAGGCGAGCAGTAAGGCTCAGAGCCGTGCCGAACACTGAATAGCGCAGAGAGTAGCTTGAAGGAACAGGAAGCATTATTATTCCAGTGCTGCGATGAACCTTGTGAAGCTAGATGGCTTGCAGGATATGAAGACTGCAGACGATATCTTCTCGGGAGCGAATGGGTGGGGTATTTTATGACGATGATGAAAGCTCGAAGTTTCCGAAGGTTGTTGGTTGCATGTTCAGATCACGTCGGGGTCACCACTGTGGCCGTAGTAGGAAAAGGGGAGATCTCCCGCCGGGCAAGGTGTTCTGCCCGGGGAGCGGCCGACACGTTCTATATATGCTGTTTATGATTCGGAATGTTGATAGCGTGATTTAGGCTTCGGTATGTTTCGCTTGCGGCGCGACGACAGCGCCGCCACATACTTTTTTTTATTATGTTAAGGGGCGGCCTCAGGACTACGCGCGGGAAGTGTTGGCTCGGGACCGGCCGGTTTCTTTCCACCGGCACTCGTCCCTCGATCCGCTGAGGGTGTACGCCACTTAGTTTCAACATGAAGATTTGGCGCTAAAGCGTAGAAAGAACAAAGATGAACTTTAGATCATTAAATTTAATAGTATTGTGTAAATGGAAGTCTTTAACACAAATACCATGTCATAATGTTTTGTAATCGTTTAAGTTTAAGAACTTTACTGATATGATTTATGACAACTAATTGGATGTAGCTTTTGCGAGGTGTTGCTTTTTCTCATTGTAGTCTAATTTTCCTTGTAACTTAAATGAAAAAAATCATAGGACTAAGTGGTTGATAGACCAATCTCATGACATCATATATATGAATAAGGTTTAGCTTGTATTACAGTTATCAAATTCGAATTCATAATATTTTATATAGCTATAAAATATAATAAAATTATTATTATTAAGGTTACTATAGAAACTAATAACATTCAATAATTTATAGGTTGTGTCGCAGACGGACCTAAAATAGATTACACACGATGGATCTGTATTAAAAAACGGCCGGGTCGTTATTGATTTGTCCTTAACTTGAGGTGTTAATTTAGTGTTTTACTATTTGTTTCATTCTTGGTTTAAATTAATTAATTTAAATTCATTGACCATAATATATGATATATAGGCGTACTTAATGCCCAATGCAATGACTACCAGTCAGATTTTGGGGGATGCAGACACAAAAATATGAAGTAGATGTATAGAAGAAGTGTATGAGTGTAACAATAAATAAGGTAAAGTAAATAAAAAGTATAAATATAAATTAAAGTAAGTAAATTTAAAATAAAATAATACATATGCGTACTCATACATAAATTCGCATATCAAATTTTATTTAAATCACAGTCGGGAAGAAATCTTTTCAAATTATATTATATATTTCGAGTTTTGAGATACTATGATAACGTAGAAATGGAATAACTATAACCTAAAAGAACTGTGGTTGCTAACCCGCTTGCCAGGCGTGGCAATGAGGGCAAATAACTCCCCCAGCATAAAGCAATATATGGGGGGGGGGGGGGGGGGGGGCTATGTCCAGCAGTGGACCTTTGATAGGCTGTAATGGTAGCGATATGTTTGTCTGTGTGTCTTTATGTTGTTCTTCAAATAAATATATTTATTTCTTTGTATTGTTATTTTGCGTGCATACCATCTGAAAAACGTTCATAAAATAAATCACCAGCAGTCTTACACTGGTTGTTTAGTAAAGCCCTCGAGAGGAATTCCAGGCCCCACGAACTGTTGTGTGTGTAAAGTCTAGTAGTTAGAGAAGTTTGTCATAAACACAAACAAATGTATGAACAAATTTTTAGTACTTCATTATATTATAAGGATCATTATTATACGAGTATATCGTCAAATGTGATGTTAGTAGAAAATTATGTTTACTAACATATAATGTATTGATAATAAAATGTGATATTTTTGTATTAAAATGTGTTTCCTTTACAACTTTCAGTTTGAATTGAGCGTGCTGATGTTACTGTTTTACTGTGATGTGCTTTGTAAATCGGATCGTATCAAATGCGCGGTAACGAACCAATGCATGGTAACGAACTAATTAAAGCGAATAATAAAGTTATTCGTGTGACAAAATTATTCGCTTCGGCTGATTCGAACGCAAAATATCAGTGCGTATACCTCTGACCATCGCTATTTTTGATTAACTATAAAAAGTGTTCCTTAACGACACCCCTGAGGATTAACATAGAAAGGTTTGTTTAGAGTCACCGGTTCCCTGCACTCACCATAAGAAATACAGCAGCATTACGCTGGTATTTTGTGAGAGCATGGTCTTCATCCGGTCGCGCCAACCTATTCACTCATGGCTCTACCACGTCAAAAAGGTCAAGGTGCTATGGTAATTAAAAACACTTTTAATAAGTAGGTATAATGTACCTATTGAGTAAATACATTCTATTCTATTTCTCAATAAAAAAGCGTATTATATTTTATATTTTACATGTAATACACAAGCAGAGAGAACACATCTAACAAACAGCAGCATTACGTAGGTACCTAACTTTATTTCGCAGTCTTAAGCCCCCTTATTTCAAAAGCGTTGCTGAAAAAGCCTGATAAAATGCAAATAAAGCAACAGAAATACGTGAAAGCTGTTTGAAAGGAGCAATTTCTTTGATAAACGACGATTGGAAGGAATAATAATGGATATATTTTTATTATACACTGGCGCAAAAAGAAAAATGTTTATCTACTTTTGTAAATAAAATTAAAGTGTCCGTTTGAAATATCTCTTATTTACACGATATTAAGACATAAGAGACAATAGAAGTCGCATAGACGCGTAACCTTGTCGCCGCTATGATGTGTTGACAAACATCAGTCACCATTTTGTGATTAATTGCGCGGGAAACGTCGTGCGTCGAAAAACAGGTACAGAAATATTGTTGATATCGTCGCATATATTTATATAATATATAATTTGGACCTTTGCGGTATGAACTGGTCGACAATAACTGGGTGTGAAGACGTCAACGAGGCCACTTTTAATTTTGACCAGATTATACAATCATCTGTAGGCAAACATACTAGTAAAGTAAAATTGAGTCGCACTAAATTCAACATCAAACCTTGGATTACTCCTGGGCTAATAAAATGTATGCGACACAGAGACCATTTGCACAGTCAGGTCCGTGCAAACCCCAATGACGTCGTGCTTAATCTGACCTACAAACGATATCGCAACTTTTGTAACGACCTGCTGCACCGACTCAAGGCTGAACACGAGAATGGAGAGCTAAAACACCACAAGCGGAATCCTAAAAAGCTTTGGCAGGCAATAAAAAACGTTTGCGAGGTCC